GGGGGCATGCTCCCCCGGCATACTTGCCAACCTTGAGACCTCAGAAATCGGGAGCATTTCAAAACCGTCGTGCTGGATCGCCGGAGCTGTTAGATTAACATTAACATGCTTATGTAGTTGTAAGTGCACTGCCTTGCGCCTGTAGCACCTTCCTTGATGGAGCATATTGTGGGCTGGACCTGTATTTGACAGGAAAGGAGTGAGCAGAGGGTCGAGTTGTCGATTCTTGTGTCTGTGACTATCTCCCTCACCCCCTTAGACTTTCAGTTGCGCGCTAGCGGTAAATCTGATTTTGTCAGAAATTGGGAGAAATATGACACCGGGAGAGAGCAATGAAATCGGGAGTCTCCCGCGAAAATCGGGAGGGTTGGCAAGTGTGTCCCCCGGTAAGATTGTTTTTAAAGGTTGAAGTTAAAAGCATCATCTGGTGCACTTTGAGAGCAAAATTAAGAGATCATGGATACATCTCTCAACACCCATATGAAACAGAACTGTAAACAGATTTTCTTTTTCTTTATGGATATTTTACAAATCACTCCCCTTTTAAACTGTATTCTTGTTTTACTGTCATGTAGTATTTCATACCTGTTTTGTATTCTCTTATTTTTTTAACAGTTATTTATCTAACTGTAGCATATTTCCTCCGAAATATGGTCTTAGACTTTACTGATGATTTAGAATTTATTGAAACTCCAGAGTCAACGTAAGAGCTATAAAGACACAAAAATAACAAATACATTTAGGCTCAATCCGTATTATAATAACTTTAGCATACTACCAATAGTTAACTGTAAACAGACAGCAAAGCTACAAACAGCATATAAATGAACTCGGACACAACCTACATTTTATATATATTAAATACCAACCTTGTGTCTCCGTCATGTTGTTTCCATAGCAACAACAACTTCCTCTCAACAGCGTAAACTCGCCTTCAAAATAAAGCATCTAAATAAAACAGTAAGTTAACCTAAATTACATTTAAAACATATATACAACTGCAACGAAAGTAACAAAAACAATGTAATATCCTTTTCAGTTTCACAGAACACAGATTGGGTTATTTACAATAACGGTCATATGAAGGTGTGCCTCGGAAATAATCTTTTACTAATTTGTGACCAAACCGTTTGAGACTGAGATAACTTAGACTAAAGTGAACTATCTAAACTACTCAGAGAGTCCTTTAGCTCACCTGAGACTCTCAGTCCGACAGGAGAGGACTCTCCCCAGCTTGTTGTGGAACAAACAGCTCCTTATGTCCGTTAGTGCAGCTAGCTAACCAGATGCTAACAACACGGTCCCTGCTGGCAGCGGTCTCTCCCTCTCGCTCAATCACGCTTAAATGCGCTATTGCCACACACACAGAGTGGAACTTGAATGAAACACATGCAACTCTCTGGTCTGGTGTCTTGCCTCTGTTGCATTCACTGAACACGGGAAATTACAATCCTGCCGTCCTCTCTAGTGTCATGATGAGGCACAGGTAAAGCACGGTTAATGTATTATATTATTGAGGGAGAATTGTCCGGGGCTACAGAAAAACATTCGGGGCTTTACGCCACTGGTTGTCAGTATATTTGAAATGACTAGGTAAGCTATGTTTATCTAGCTAGCTTTAAAGCAGATTTTCAATAATATTGGAAGGAATAATGCGGTTACATGTTTTATATAAGCCTATAAAACTAACATTTCAGGTAAGTTTCCAGTTTCCATTGTATTTTGAGCTTCTTTCAGATTTTTTTTTATCTGCAGTGGTTTTCGTAAGTGTTGTCACGTTGGTGAAGAGATTTCTTAATTTGCATGTGTTTTGGCACATTTTTGTTTTTATATTGCATCGTTTTTGAAAGTGCAGCGCATTTATCCTAATGTAAGTGTTTTGGGCAGTTGTAGGGTGTTTGCCCCTGTCAGCCACCGTAGTATACAGTGCCCCCAGTTGGTATGACAAACTTAATCAAACCATTAAAACTGAGTATCTTCAATGTACTTTGTTCTCACTGAGAGATTAACGTTTTGCAAGATAATGCTTTGCAAAAATATTGTGTTCCCCATCAGATGGGTTTTCAAAAATCAAAGAACAATGTTACAGATGACTCATACAGAACTAGTTAATGGGGAGTGATCTTAGAAAAAAATTCTCTCTGCCACCCATTGAGCTTCTCCAACCCAATGCTGTGATTTCCATCCTCAACACTGGGACATCCATTCCCAAGTGTCAGTCAATAGGCTTTTGTCTCTCCCCACACTCTTCCCCTCCCACATGTTTTGTGCTGAACTATTGCTGCCAAAGCCAGCCTAGGACGACAAGAACACAGGAGGAACGCTGCCATCTCCAGAAGGAGAGTCAGATGGTGGCGAGGATTCTTTGTCTTCTCCCTTTCCTCTCTCATTTCCTCCTCCTTTGGTTCGGGCTGGTGTCCTAACACTCTGATTCCCTCCACAACAAATGCAAATAATCACACTTGGTAATTTGCTGTGAAAAGGGGATGTCACACAGCAGTTTGTGTGTGTGTGCTGTCTGTTTTGGCCTGAGCTCATCTGCATGCATAAGGAGATTGCTCACCTGCAATCTAATTAAACAGTGCATGACAAACCGTTTTGCTGAGCGTGGGGATGTGGCTCAGTGTGCAGGTTTATTAACAGGGCTTGAGGTTGTCCAAGTTATGACAGCTGCAGCTCAGAGGATGCTCCGGTGTGACCCGGACACAAACCCAGCCGCCTGTTGTTATGACAGCTCCAAACACTCCCAGGACTGAGCAATACATAGCTTGTCTTATTAGAGAACCCCACTAACTCCGAGGCTAATTGACCTTACCTGTTCATCTCCAAACACTGCATATTCACACCAGGATAGACCTTGCCCAATTTTTCAGTTAAAACCCCCATTTCTGTGGTTGATAGTCCCATAAAGCACTGCTTCTTCAAATGAAGCAGTCATTTGGAAACAGTGGCAAATACCTCCTCTCAGACAAAAAGGGGTTAGGGGGGGGAACAGCTCACTCCACTCCAAACACCAGCACACACTCATACTCTCATAAAACCAGGCAATAAAGCTGCTATCCTCTTGAGAGTTGATGTACGGTGCCTGAAAGAGAGCTACTGAGAGCCATATTAAAGGCTTTATTACCAGTGTCAGATTCAAATTAGTGGTGTGGTGTGTGTGGTGGTGTGTGTGTGTGTGTGTGTGTGGTGTGTGTGTGTGTGTGTGTGTGTGGTGTGTGTGTGTGTGTGTGTGTGTGTGTGTGTGTGTGTGTGTGTGTGTGTGTGTGTGTGTGTGTGTGTGTGTGTGTGTGTTGTTGTGTGTGTATGTGTGTGTGATTCGTCTGCGCCGATTTTCTAGCACATGGCTGATTTGGAATGCTTTACACTAAGTTAAATAATATCATTTGGAAGATATCCAGAGCCAGGACCACCGATGAGTGAGCAGTAAAACAATAGTCAGTAGAGCTACATGTGAGTTAGATTAGATCCCAGGGGACATGAGTGAGAACTTTGTGATGCTTTATAAAGGAGAATGGTGGCATTACAACGTTTTTTGCTTCTTCGGCTTACAATGTTGTCGTAGACCGGGGGTCGGCAACCATTTTGATATGAAGTGCCATTTAAAAAAAAATTGTGATCAATGTGCCGATGACCGTGAACTGTCAACAGGAGGGCGGGGAGCCTCGCTGCGGGGAAGCAGTGTGTGGACCTCTTTCACCTGTCAGCGCAACTTACATGATGTGGTTTAAACATATTTAAATAATTGGTTTAAACAGTGACAGTGAATAACAATGACGACCGACGCCGTCCGTTCTGTGATTCTCCAGAACACACAGATGGCCAGTCCGCCCCCGTGTAGCATATTATTTTCGATGAGAGATGAGCAGATCGCCACTGGGCTTTCAACTAAAGACACAGCCACGCAAAAACTGCGGCATTTGTACAGGTTTTTAGATGGTTTAGACTTTCAAATAAAGGTTTTGAATATAGGCTCGATGTAAAGTCACTTTTTAGTGACTTTCTGATCATTTACACAGCCACACAAAATGACTGAGGGTTCATTTTTTATTCTTAACCAAGAATCTTGAGCAACCTGTCACTAACTTTCCTGACAGATTCAGGACAGTTTGCAGTGTAAACCCCACACAGCAGCAATGAAGCCAGTTATTTCAGATCCAGTGAAGTCATCACTAGCCACAGGATAGGGCCAAGAGAAATCAATAAGAGCAGTCGGAGCTTTTAAAGCTTCTCAAATCAGCACTTCTCAACTCTCACTTAATTCACTCCTTTGTTCCGCGATACATTGCATCAGCAAAGAGCGCTGATGTGACATGACATGAGAAAAGTTTGGTCATAACAAACATGCTCATCCGCTTACAGTCTGTTTAAACATACTCTGGCTGTATCATGCAAAGTAACAAGATAAACCAGATTGCCTACTTGGATAAACTATACTATACAGACAGCGTCAAATATATATCGAGGTTATCTTGCATTTCCCATTTCCATCTATTGGTATTGTATGTACTTTAATTAAATGTATTATGTGTAAATTACAAATAATTGTGTTATATCAGTTGAAAGCAATAACATTAAGTTCAACCTAAAAAACAATTATGTGAATTTTGTTGACCTAATACATTTAATTAAAATCAACATTTCAGTTCTTTCAGGGTGGTGTGTGATACTGGGGGACCATGAGACATCATTATGTTAAGGCTAACTACATTTCCTTTTGATCTCACAGTATAAGCTCAGAGCAAGCACAAACTGAGACATCACTTTCAGAAAAGCAGCTGCAAGAGAAACCAACAAGACATCTTATCTTGAGTTTCAGCGGAGGTGGGTTCAAAACCTAATAAAAACAAATCACAAATGACCAATTCACCAGCAGCTCTACTAATATCCCACAGGAGAGGGACTTGATGCTCTCGCAGCTCCGGCACAAAGAGTGTCTTCAAACTGCATCCAAACTTGCAGAGGGTGACTGGGGAAGAAGAAAATCCTTGTTCACTCACCCGTGCTGGTGAAGCAGAAGAGAAGAAGAAACAGCAGCCAGGAAACCATTGTTACCGGCCAGTATACAGATGTCTCCTAGTTGCCAGATGATGAATTAACAGTGGGGATGAAAAGAGTGTTGGAGTTGACACACTGGAGCTTCCTCCCTCAGCTGCTCTTCTTGTTTCTCCTCTTCTTCTTTCTCTGCGTGTCTCTTTTCTCTCCCCTTCAAAACTGCGTGCATCAGGCTCTCTTTACTACTCTGGCTCCCATGCTTACTCGCTCTGACTCGTTGGTTCACTGGCTCCCCCTCTCTACCCTGCCTGCCTCTCTTTCTCCACGGTAAAGTCAGGGAGGAAAATGCTTAAGAGGCTGGCTCCTCCCTCTCCCCGCCTGCTCATCTTCCTCTGCCATTTACACAGTCTAGACCCAGGCACACATTCTCCTGGATGATCCACCATGCATTATCATTTAATGGGACGGTAACATAATATTTAGCACTTTGCACAAATGGATGATAAAATATTGATTGTGTTTGTTGACATTGAGAATGGAAATCCAATGAATGCAAAGAGCTTTTCAAACATGCAGCTTTGTCATTTTCTGATTATTTTTAATGGTTATTTTCCCCTTTGAATAAATAGGAAGCAAAATGAATGCACTGAAACTGTAACGTTGACTTGAATTAAATGTAGCAATAATATTAAGTTAAACCTGATATATCTAATTTAAACTTAATATTATTGTTTCAACAAACCAAATACAGATATGTGAAATCTGTTGATATAATACATTTAATTCAAGTCAACGTTTTAGTTTTTTCAGTGAAGTCTCACAAGGACATTAGAGATTTATTGTGTTCCACATGTTTGTATGTCACCTTAAGAGCAGCTGATAGAACCTGCCTGAAGTGCTCAAGGCTGCGATCTGTCAGGGGTCAAAGCTCTGTGAAATAAACAGTGTTGTGCTAGTTACTGAAAACCAGTAACTAGTTACCATTACTAGTTACTACTTATTTCAAAAGTAACTCAGTTACTTTACTAGTTACTTACACAAAAAAGTAATGCGTTACTGTGAAAAGTAACGTTTCCGTTAGTTACAAAAAAGGGCTCCCATTAATGCCCTTATAGCCTTCCTTTCAGTACTGTTATTGCATTGGAGAATAATACAATCTGTTGATCAACTTGACATGCATTATATGCAATCTGGATTGCATCGATATTAGCTGGCTTTCCATTTTTGTATCTTTCTCCAGGTAGTTGGAAAAAGTTTCCGTCCCATATGCCGTGTGCCGCCCGGACATGCTATCATGCTAACTAGCTCCCTGAAAGCGGGTGACTCCACTGTAGCAATAGCCTGCATGTGTTCTACAACATACCGTGCAATGGCTTTATCGACTTTTCCCTGGCTAGCAGTCCCTTGGTTAAAATCCAGCCGCTGTTGCTTAGGTGGAGGTGGAGTGGCGTCGGCTGATCTCTGTGGTCTTAGCTACTAGCTTCGTCCCAGCATGTTGTTTTTGCAGATGTTTTAAGAGATTTAATTACTACTGGTTTGGGCAGTAGATAGGATCTCTGACCCGCCAAGACACAACTTACATTTAACTAAAACGTTCTTTTCTTTGTGCTCGACAAAAGTGAAATAGTGAGAATATCTCCAGGTGGAGAAACTAGACTGAGCTCCGCCGCCCATGATAGTCTTTTAGTAAACAACACAAACACGCCCACAGCCCGTCTCCGCATGTGACACAGGAAGTATCTAAGTACATTTACTCAAGTACTGTACTTAAGTACAGTTCTCATCTCTGTTCGCCTGGCTGTTGACTATATAAAAAAACTAACGCAGTAACGGAGTAACGCACCATGTAGTAACGGTAACTGAGTTACTGAATTTAAAAAGTAATGCGTTAGAGTACTAGTTACTGCCAATAATAATGGCGCTACAGTAACGCGTTAGTCCAAACACTGGAAATAAATGAATGTGAGACGAACCTTTCCATGTCTAGAAGGTGATCAAATCCATTCACACATTCCACGAGGCAGGCAAGGGTCAGAGTTACATAAATATGGAGCTGTGGCATGCAGTGGTTTTATTTCCACTCACCTTTTTAAGTGATGAAATAGAAGAATGGTTGAATATTTATTTGAAGGTTTTTGCCAGAGCTGTAATCAACCCTGTCACCTTCAAATTACTGTATTCTTACTCATTTGTTTTGTGGAATAAATATGTAATTGCAGGAAACATAATTACTGCCTGGTTTAAGTTGCCAGTGTTATTTTAATAAGTATCTCTCAGCAGGAATAGTGCTAGAAGACAATAAACGCTTCCCTGAGAGTATAGGACTTAAAGGTCACCTATTATACAAAATCCAATTTTCATGTCTTTGATACATAAACATGTGTCCCCTCTGTGTAAAGAGTTCTGAAAGTTACAGGGAAAAATATTCTCTCTCTTTTTGTCCTGATCCATTTCTATAAAAACCTGTCTGAAAATGAGCTGATCAGATTTTGGCCACTTTATGATGTCATAAAGTTTTTTAGCCAATCAGCAACCAACTTACAAATCTTAAAGTGAAATGGAATACAGTCCTACTCTCCAAGAACTGTCAAACACATACACTGCTCACCTCCTCCACTAAATCCCTTTTTTGTAACCGTCTGCAGGGCATTGTAATTGACACCTTGTGTTAGTTTGAAAGAGAGGCATGGACAAACTCATGTCCTTTTCAATCCTAGTCACAGGTCACTGCATCAAGATGGATTGTATCCTGGCAGGCACACAATTGTGGCAAAAGCTGCCGTGAATAAAGTTTATTTTGCAAAAAGGGGATATATTGCTTAGTTGCAGTTAAAGCGGTTGACTGGAATGTCCAAGGTAACTGGGAGTCTTTGTTTTCTGGGAACACACATTATTGCTATGAGCACCTCAGGTACTACTCAAAATACCTTTATAACACTGGCCTGGAGGTGGAATTCTTGAAAAAATGAATTGAGGTTTGTGCTTTCCGCAGCATTGGGTGAACATACTTTTTAGTTGTGTATTATTTCCCTCCCTAAAACCTTCAGATGAGCTACACCATGCATTCTTAGGATTCTCAGCAGGTCAGAAACGATGGCTGTGGTCTATGAAATATCCAGTATGTCAGTACACTTGACTGGACTTCAGTGGTTAACATTTCTATATGGTAGTGTTTTTGTCTTTTCTTTATACTTTTTAATACTAACATTTGAAATAATGCTATAACACATACCATTACAAGGGTTTTATTGTATCTCTTTGATGTGTAAGACAATAACCAGTGTGATCACTCTAGTCCAGGGGTGGGGAACCTTTTTCCTCTCAAGGGCCATTTCAATGTTTTCAACATCCTCCGAGGGCCGTACAAATGATTGACCTCTGCTTAAAAAAACTAAAATCACAGCCCACTCATTTCACCTTTCTTTCATGCTGTGCAAAGAAAAAGCAACCTCTTAATCCAGATATCTTGCCATGACTCATGCATGCACGTGCACAGTTGTGGCATGACCACCCAAACAGAAAGATATGGACACAATATGTGTGCAAATGTATTTAGTTTCCTATCCATGTGAACATGATTTAAGTGGGGGGGACCTAATCTCCTCTAGGGGGTCAGGGGGCATCGCTCCCCCGGGAAGATTTGTTTTTAAATATTGAAGTTAAAATCATCAATCTGGTGCACTTTGAGAGCAACATTAGGAGATCTATGGATACATCTCTCAACATCCATATGAAACAGAACTGTAAGCATATTTTCTTTTTCTTTATGGATATTTTACAAATCACTCCCCTTTCAAACTGTATTCTTCTTTATTAATACAACTTTTTTTTACTGTCATATAGTATTTTATACCTGTTTACTTTATTCTCTTTTTTTTATAACTATAATGATCATATAAAGATGTGCCTTTACCTCACTGGTTGTAGAAAAAGCTTCTTATATTCGTTAGCATAGCTAGCTAACCAAATGCTAATAACATCAAAGTTATTGACTGTATGATCAGTATGACAGATCGCCACTGGGTTTACAACTAAAACACAGCCACGCAAAAACTGCAGCATGTGTACGGCTCCTTATGGGTACTGCAATTTTTGGAAGTGCCGGAGCGGAGCTGCGTTCTGGTGCTCCCTATGGGTGCTCCCCGTCAGAATTACACCCCTGTCAGACGAGACATATACCACGTGATGACACGTTAGGCTTGTGTTGTGTTCAAGGACCCTGACCTTGGCCAGGAAAAACAGGCACTCCATTGTTTAATTATTTTGCGGTCTAGATTTCTTTAATTTTTTTCTTTTTTGTGTGTTTATAAATTACCTCGAGGGCCACACCAAATGGTCTCGCGGGCCGCATACGGCCCGGGGGCCGAAGGTTCCCCACCCTGCTCTAGTCTATACTCTAAGGTGGTATGTCTGTAAGGTGGTATCCTTTGAAGTTTGAATAATTATTCAAACAATTTTAATTAATTGAATCCCTGGATTACAGATTGCAGATATATTTTTACTCAATATGTATTATTTATAATTTAAACTATTTAAAAAAAATTCATTGAGAGAATGCAGTTGTTTTCTGGGTATGGTATTCGTTTTTCCAGTTTGTTTTGTCCATGTTTTCGTTTCCACAAACTCAATCACATTGGGTTCGGGTTAGGGTTTTACATCATCATCTATGTTTCAAAGTCAGTTCTTACACGATATTACCTGCCTATTATATACACATAACACGAAATAGCATCAGGGATAGTTCAACCATCTTGATCAGAGTGGTTGATGGAATCATCCATTAATCAACACCTAGGCTATAAACTTATTTTGGCACTTCTTTCGATCTCTTCAGGCTCATTCCTTATCCCCTGACTCCCTCCAGGTAAAAACACAAGCCTCATACACACGACACACACACTGCCAAGAGAGTGTGTGATGTTTTTTGAGAGGGAGGGCTGCAAGAAAGAAGAAAGTAAGGTCTCATGATGGCAGCAATTGTGACAATTAATATATATGCCAGATGTTCACAATATATTCATTAACTATATTACATCTTTTTTTTTAAATGTTGCAAATGCCCCTCCTCACTGATTTACAGCGATATTGATCCTCACTGATTTGCAGTGATATTGATTTAACGGTTCGGATGGATAAGTATTTTCACCAGTTTTTCCAAAGACACATGCCATAAGTTATTGTACGCTAGCACAGCATGATTGTTTGTAGAGCTTAGAAAGCGTTCATATGTGACGAAACAAGACAGAGAATACAATAGAAACAGATTTGATATGCGCTGTGAAAAATAATGTTTGCTTTAC